ACATAAACATGGCCTCTGGCTCTAAGCAGACCATGCTTTCCTGTGTGATTTTTCCAGGTGGCCAGCAGTCTAGCAGTGTGGCAGAAATCCACTTCCACATGTAAATAGAATGCCTCACAAAGCATCTAACAGCCAAAGCTTTTACCACTACCCCCATGGTATAAAAATATCCTAGCCTTCTCTTAATAGTGGGAGATTGGGTCAGAGACTGGATCCCAGAGACTGGGTCCCAGAGAGAATAAAGCTGTAAGCACAGACTGAGCCGAGCCTTGAGTCTTGTGTACCGGTGACCTGATTCCCCAGGAGGGCAGCACCTTCCGTTACCAACCCACGGACACCAGCTTTCGCTGACTCCGCACTCCTTTCCTGCGTGGCTCAGTGGCCAGGAGCCTCACATCCTGAGGAAGGGTACACGGGTGAAATAGAGACGGGATTCCGGCTGGACAATGCTCCAGTAGCAGAGCAAGCTCCCAGCACCAGAGAAGTTGCGACAGCCACAAGCTGTCGCCAGCACCAGAGACACGGCGCCGGGAAAGCCTGCAGGGCGCCCAACGCTCCCGGAGCCGCCGCTCCCCAGAGCAGTCTGCGGACCCGCAGGGAGTGAGCGCACCCTGCGCCCAGAGAGAGCGCAGTCGCCCATACTAATCCAGCCTCCCCGCTGAGCCGCCGGGAAAGCCTGCAGGGCGCCCGCCGCTCCCAGAGCCGCCGCTCCCCAGAGCAGTCTGCGCACCCGCAGGGAGTGAGCGCACCCTGCGCCCAGAGAGAGCGCAGTCGCCCATATCTGGCACCCAACGTGGGGCTCCCCTGAACCTCGTGGGACCCTCTCACAACGTGGGACTCCCCTGAACCTCGTGGGACCTTCTCACAACGTGGAAGCTTAGCCTCTGAACTTCGTGCCAGCTAGGAGCTGGTGCCCACAGAAACGCTAGGAATCTGTGAGTATCCCTCCCACTCAGGAGGGTAAATCTAATTTCTTCCTCTCTTCTAAAATTTCCTCCTTTCCCTTTCTGGTCTAGAAGTCTTTGGGAGGGACAGCTAGGACCAGAGAGACAACTGAGGTTTCCTGGCCAGGGCTACCCCCTGGTGTTAACTAAAGGTCTCTCTGATCTCCTAGGAGGACCCCAACTGCCTGTTCAGGTGTGGACGAAAAGACCTCTGTCTAAACATCTCTTTTTAATATGTATTTTTTTAAAACATTTTATTTATTATTTTTATTTTATGTGTATGAGTGTATTCATCAAGTCATGCAGTGCCTACAGAGGCTGGAAGGAATTGGATCCTCTGGAACTGGAGTTATGGGTATGGCTGTTAGCTGCCATGTGGGTGCTGGGAATCAAACCCGGGTCCTTTGCAAGAGCAGTCAGTGCTCTTAACCAATGAGCCATCTCTCCAGCCCTGGACTTACATTTTTAGCCGCCTTGTAAAATGTCTTCTAGGTTGTATCAATTTCAAACTAAACTTGTGATATGGATTCAGGCCAATCTTACTACAGTGGAGCCAGATCTTAACCACACCTGGCTTAATCTTTCTCTCCAATCAATGTTTGGAATAGGGACAGAGTTGTATATTCCCTCTTAAGCAAGAACTATGCCCCTCATCATTATGGAAGTAGTTATAGAAAACGAATCATTGTCTTTTAGCTCCCCCAAAGGATTTCTGAGACCAAAGCTCTCAGGGAGTGATTAAAGCAAAAGTGTAGGATCAGAGTAAGGAACGGAATTAGCAGATAAAAAAACTTGCTAACTGAGAAAAAGGCTCAACCCTTCCCAGCTCCCTACCATCAAGGCCAACTTGTAACAGACCCAGCAAAGTCAGCACAAGAAGAATGATCCAAAAGCTTGTGGTACTGGGATTTGAAAGTCTCAACCTTTTGTACAGAGTTGGCCAGTAAGCTTCTAACTGTCCCCCAGCTCTGACCTGTGTCTCCCTCCTTGGAAGTGTACTATTTCTTAATGAGCTATCTCTGCTTCAACTAGTATCCATATGTCCCAGGTCCAGTTCTTTGTTCTGGGACACAAGAATCTGGAAATTCTGACAAGTGCCTATTGACTTGGGTACACACCAATTAATATCAGGAATTAACATTAATCAAGCCGTTACTAATATATCGAATTTCTAGAAAAACCAAGTACTCTTCCAGGACTGATAAAAGCTCTAACAAAGATTTTCAGTTTACAATTTGAAAAATTGTAAAAATTCATGGAATTTCTTGATTGAGAAATAAAGCCAGCTAATATGGCCTGTCAAAGATACAGGTGTTTTTGAAATTTAAAATTTAGCCCTTTTAAATAGGAATATACCATGTTCTGCTATTCAATTATGTGGACTTTTTAGGAGTCAGAGAAAAATAGTCATTATATTTAATTTATCAGCTGAATAAGAAAACTATTTTAGCAGGCTGTAAGAAAGAAAAGATTTCACCTGAATCTGGTACAATTACTTAATACTGCATAACTTCTCTAGACAAACACACACAGACACACATAGGGCAGGTAGGTAGAGATGTACAGAGATTATTTTTTCTTACCTGATCTCAGCAGCCACTTGATAAGGTGTTGTTTTCCACATTTCCCCTTCCATCATTTTCCCACCAGCCACTCTCACTGTAATCAGGTTGCCTGTATTCTTTTTTTCAGAAGTAGTAGGTAAGAGATGGTGATCTGCCTTCAATGTTTCAAAAAACTTCAATCTTTCTTTTATAAAATATGGTTCCTTCACCTGAAAACCATTAGCATTCAATACGGTTAACACACTGAGCCCACTAACTGCTGCTCAGCCCTGATTCCCACCTCACTGTCTTCTCAGTCAACACAGGTGCTGTCTCTGTCTCTCTACTTTCTACGACGGACCAGCCCAGACCGGGGCAGTTCAGTCCGACGGGAACAGGGTCGTCGAGAGGATGGACAAGGAGTCGGCGAGTGACAAACAGACACACATGAGCTTGGTGAAAGTCTGAGTGCAATTTTTGTAGTTGCAAGGTTTGAGATATATACAGCAAAGATTACAAAAACCGCAGAACAGTCATGCTAAGATTTACAATTTTAGAGATGAAAGTAAAATAATTTTGTCAACACATTTTTTTATTTTATTAACCTGATACCAGACAGTAAATTTTTGTTTTATTGTGGTTTTTACTGTCAGCCTTTTTTACACACTTAGGATTTTGCTTGGCTTTGTAGATTCAAGTCAGAATGACCTTAACCCACCAAGCACTTTTAACACCAGTTGTGCCTGATATTACTTTTTTTAACTATTTGATAATATTTTTTGTTTATTTGTAGTGGGCCATAGGGCTTCTAAGTTATTTTTTAACTCCATAGGTCCCAAAAAGGCCATCCCATGTTAGGGATCCATGAAACCATACTTTTTTTTTTATCCTACCAATTTTTAAATACTTTTTATATTTGTCCTTTAATGTTTTTTTATTGATTGTTTATTAAAAGACACCAAGGTGGTCTTGATCTTACCAATTTATTTATAAATCGTAATGAATACCAAGAAACGCTTTTTTTATCTATGTCTCTCTTTTAGAAATCTGTTATTTCCTGGACTTTTTAGCATTAATTTTATTTAACTACTTTTTGTTGCATTTAAAATAACTTTTATTAATAGTGGTGCATTTGGACTAGGATGATTAAAGGATTTTCAATAAAGGTGGTGACAGCAGTGCCAAGGATACCAGGTGCTTTCCGGGCCCCCAGAAAACCCAAGATACAGTGACAGTTAGAAAAATAATAGCAAGTAAAAGCATGCCAAGTACACTGCATGTTTCTTAGCACAGCCAATTCCAAGAGGCAACCTTCCTTGAAGTTTCAGCCTCAACCCATGGAGACCGTGGGCTTCATTGGAGATGGCATGGCAACTTTCCCTTCCAGAAAATCCTCCCCACTTACCTAACTCTTCCATAGCTCTAATGACCCAGTTCAAAGCCTGCCTCCTTTAGCTACTCCACCCACTGACAGCTCCCTTTTCCACTGTTTCCAGTATCTGTATACAAGGTTCTATAGTACAGCACTTCTTCATCTACAACCCATCCCTCGTATCAACAGGATTAGGCTCCTACAACCCCATGGATGGAAACCTGCAGATGCTCCAGTCTTTAATACAACCAAGCACATAGTGTTTCTATATAAGCTCACATCCTCCCATAGTCTTTAAATCACCTCTAGATTACTAAAATATCCAATACAAATTAAATGCTCAACAAATACTTGGTATGCTATAATGTCTAGGAAATAAGGGCAACAAAGTCAGTACATGTTCAGTATAGAAACATTTTTCCCCAAACATTTTCTTTCTCCCCCCATTTCCATGTGTGTGGTATGCATATGTGTGTACTCATATTTGCATGTGTGTGGACAAGTAAGTGGGTGCTAGCAGAGGCCCAAGGTTGATGTCGGGAATTATCCTCGATGACTCTTTCATCTTATTCATTGAGGCAGTGTCTCTCAATGAAACCCAGAGCTCTCAGATATGGCTAGTTTCCCTAGCCAGTTTGCTCTGGGGATCCTTAGTCTCAGCCTTCCAAGCCTGGAGTATAGGCAGACTGTCACACCCACCTAAGATTTACATGGGCTCTTGGGATCCAAATTCAGGTCCTCACACATGAAGGGAAAATGCTTTAACCGCTGAAGCATTTCCCTAGCCCTTCCATACATTTTCAACCCACAGTGTGTTGAACTGAAGGCACAGAAACTGTCACATGGAGGGCTGACTGCGCCATCTGACTTCATTCTCTAGTTGTTTCTCCTGCATTTGTCTGTCTTTCATAACCAGACCAATCTCTGAAAAGCCAGATATTCTTCCTTTACTCCTAACAACTGCTGAGTCTCAATACTTTGTAGGATTTTTAATTATTTCAAAAAAAAAATTTTTTAAGGAGCAGGTACCGTCCCTAATACAAAAGAAAAGCTCTGTGATTGTGATCTCACCTTAAATAAAGTGAAGGGCACCTCAAATCCAGCTAGATAGGTAGCTCATCTCTAAGTCAAGACACAATGTGGCCCAAATAACAATTTTAATAGTTAATTATGTTCTTACCCAAAGTCCTGCATATACATGTTTAAAATTACAGGTAATATTTTATATTGTTTCTATAGCTATAACTTACCTCCCTGGCAGGCTCACTCTCCTTTGATTTCTTCTTTTTGGTGTCCTTTTCTTGGTTTTGAGTAGGAGGCTGTAAGGTAAATAGCACATTCGTGTCAAGTAAAGGCAACATATGTGAAACCTGAGGATGGAGGGAACTGTGGTAGCACGTGACAAATGCCCCAACATTTGGGGTTCCAGGTTGGGGTGTCCCAATCATCACTGACCTACATCCCTCAGGGGTCAATTTCCAGAGTTCAGCCCCTCCTGTCTTTGACAGTCTTGCCAAGCACTGTTAATATGTTTTGACTTTACAGTGACTTCCATCAAGGGCTAGGAATGTAGCTCAGTGGTAGAGCACTTGCCTAGCATGCACAAAGCCCTAGGTTCCATACACTGGGAAAGGTGTGGCTGCCACCAGAGACTTATAGCACTATTTCATTAAGACCTTGCTAAGTGCACCATGGTTACCCTTGGTAAAGAATTAAAAGGACATCTCATAGTCTTAGAAAGCCTTCAGAACTTACATTCTTTTATGAGATCATTTTTTGATGATCTAAAACATTAAAATGCTACAATCAAATAATCCTGTTAAATATACAGATAGGCTTTCAAGGTAGACCACTAAAACAATAATCAACCTGTTCTATATAGCAAAAAAAACACACGTCAGAAAAAAACAGAAACTGCTCGTCTCCCCAAAGAGACCGTGAATCTTAAACACTTCAACAGCTTTTTTTTTTTTAAGTTGTGTGTTTGAGCCAAGCTTTGCTGGCCTCAAGCTCGCAGCAATCCTGCCTCAGCCTCTGTGGGGAGTGCTGGATTAGAGGGGTGCACTTCAGTTGTTTTTCAAATAAATGAAAAAGTTGAAAATGTTATTTCTGCTACGGAAAACAAAATCCTGCAGTCTACCAAATGAACAGCTGAGCAACGACACCAGTAGGTCAGTTTGGGGATGCGTGGGAATCCAGCGGTGGGGCAAGGGCAGGGGCAGGGTCAGGGTCAGAGCAACGCAGCACCCGCGAGGAAGCCTCACGCAGTGCCCGGGCCAGCCCCGGAACCTGCAGCTGGACCGGGCTCAGCGCGCCGGGGCCCGGTTTTCCCGCCCGCCCGAGCTGGGCCGGGTTACCTGCGCGCCGGCGGTCGAGCGCCCGGCCTCCGCTCGCATAGCCCGGCGGCCACGCTCCGCGAGGCTCAGCCGCAGGCCGCACAGGCACTGGCGCAGGTCGCGGTTCTCCTCCCGGAGCCGCGCCACCTCGCGCGTGAGGCGCGGGCCCTGGGTCTGGCCGCTCTCGGGGCCGTGCAGCTGCTCGTCTCTCAGGCGCTGGACCTCCGCGTACAGCCAGCGGATGTCCTCCTCCTGCCGCTCCAGGCGCGAGGCTACCGCCTGGACCGCCACTGCCTCGGCCGCCATGGCGCCCGTCTCTTTATCTGGCGCTCACGCCGGGCCAGTGGTTGACCGTGGGAACAGCAGGCAAAGCTCAACCTAGGAAAAGTGACAAGGCAACGGGGCGGGGAATCAGGGGGCGGGGAGAGGGCCGGGCTGGCAACAAGGCGTGTGGCTACGGGGCGGTGAGGGGCGTGGCAGCCAGTGGGCGGGACCGTCGGGGCTCTGGGCGGAGATGTGGGCGGGGCCTGGGCTTGGCAAGCCTACCGGAGACCAGGCGATGGGGCGTGGCAGCCAGGGAGCGGACTACGGGGCCCCGGAGGTGGGGCGAGGGCGGGGCCTGACAACGTGCGCGTGGCACGGGGCGGGGCGGCGAGGGGCGGGACCGACGGCCATCTGGGGGTGGGGCAGAAGACGGGGCCAGGACTGAGCAACACTGTTCCGTAGTGGCCGGTCGGGCAGCGACTGGGAGGGACTCGAGGTCCTGGGGGACGGAAGAAGCGATGGGGTAACACTTCGTGGGGCGTGGCCACGGGAGGGATGAGAGGTTGGGGTCGAGGTGGGGCAATTGCACAGGGCGTGGCGACGGGGGAGGGGACGGGCTGGCCACTTCAAGGTCGGGGGTAGGGTCAAGGCTGGTCAACTCAATGGGGCGTTGAGACGGGGCGGGGCGATAGGGAAAAGGAGGAGACCTTGCCGAAGTTGGGTTTATAGCTGGTTGAGGTCTCTGGGACCGAGGCAGTATGGGACCACTCCTTGGGTATCTCTATTGTTTCAGGGGCGTGTCCAGATGCTTGTGGGAGTATGGTTACCCTGTTGAAACTATAATAGAAGAAAGTGAAGCACGAAGACGCCATGTCACTTGACCAATTCATCCAAAACTTTAGCAAAGCAAAATGCACCTCTCTTGTTCCCCTCTTGAATTCTTGTAATCACCATTGTATCACTTAGCAAACAGGTTCTGAAAAGCGGCTGTTCATATCAAGGTTGGGCAAATGCAGAGGCCACTTGGCAGTGGTACATAGGAGAGCTCTACAAAAATTTCGGTATCAACCAGCACGAGATTGCAGGCTATGTGAGTGTAAGATAAATGCTGTAACTGTCCTGGCAGAAAGGAAGCTGTTTTAAGGAGAGAGACTCTTGTGCTCTCAGACACACCCCCAAAGAATTACGTTTTTCCAGGTATCTCATGCTGGGGAAGTGAAAAGCTGAGGATCCCTGCTGTCAGCTAGAGGAAGAACTTGACTCCAGAGATGAGATTTCCATGGTCTGACAACTTACCAGACTGCCTTGCTGGGGAAGACTGGAACTGAGTTAAGATAGGTAGGACCATACCTCCACCAGGACTGCCTAATTATGCATACCTCTTCCCTTCCATTTAAGCCTAAACCTCCTGTTAAGTGACTCGAAGATAGGCTTAGGTGTGTCCCTGGACTCCTTCATTTGTTCATCTTTCCACTGTGGCCACATTGAATAAATCTCCTTTTCTGCTTCTCACTGTTAGCTGTCTTTTTAATTGGAACAGTGGGGAACAGGTAGCTGAGCTTAGCTTGGTGAGTCTTCCAGAACACAGGCTTTGACCCTAACAACTCCAGTAACAATTTCACATACAACTTTTATCTCTTATAACCATGAGCATGTAGCATCCTATGACAGGAACAGGAATTGACTTTTTCTAGTCTTAACTCTTAGGGTCTGCCAAGAACTGTTGGAAGTGCTTTGAAAAATAACAAGAGATACTCATAACAAGAGATACTACTGCTATATCCAATTATAAATGAGGCATAGAGAGTATATATCACTTGGTCCAGGTCACAGAGCCACTATATACAGAGTGGGGTTCAAACCCAGATAGTATGATGGTCATGTCTAAACCATGAATCTAGTGCCTTTCAAAATTAATAAAATTTAGTCAAACATGCCTTATGATGTGATATAGATAATAAATGTCTCAAGAGTTCTGAAATGGGAGTTTATCTTTCACTGGGATAAGTCAGAAGATGAGAAACTACTCTTAAAAATAAAGGTTGGGTGATGTCAGAAAGGTGTTAAGGCAGATAAAGATCACTCTGGAGAATGGGGTGGAAGGAGCTGAGGGGAACAAACTGATCAGATGAAGTCTGGGAGAATCACAAACCACTCCCAGGAGGAGGGTCCATTATCTTCCATTTGGAAAGTTGAAGACCATTTATCAAACAAGTGTTGGAAACACAGCTGGGTGTGGTGGTACATGGCAAAAATCTTAGCATCCCGGGAGGTCTCAGGAGCACAAGGGCAGTCAAGGCTGCACAGTAAGATCCTGTCAAGATTAAGATGGAGGAGGAAGAAAAGGAGGAAAAGATAAAGGGAAGAAAAGAAGGGAGGAAAGAAAGGGAAAGGAAAGGAGGAATAGAGAAGAAGAAAAGGAGAAGGAGGAAGGAGAAAATGAGGGCTTGGGAGTTAGCTTAGTTGGTGAAGTGCTTACATGCAAACCTGAGGACCAGTGTTTGACCCCCAACATCCATGTAAAAAGCTGGGCATGGCGGTACATGCTTGTAATCTCAACACTACACTGGGGGCAGAAGTAGGTGGATCCCTGGGGCTTGCTGGCCTGGTAATGAGCCCCAAATCCTAGTGAGAGACCCTGTCTCAAAAACAAAAATGGAGGGCTCTGAGGAATGGCGCCCAAAGTTGTCCTCGGACCTCCACATACGCAAGCACACAGGAACAGACATATCTGCATACTCATGGACAAACAGAAAGAGAGAGAGAGAGAGGAGAGAGAGAGAGAAGAGAGATGCAAGAAAAGCACAGAATTTCTTTAAGGATAATGAAATGCTACAAATGTATGGACTACATGAATCAGAGAAAACATAACTGCGAAAGAATGAAAATAATGATCAACTCAAAAATCTATACAAAGGGCAGCAAGAGAAACCAATGATAAAATAAAACTACATATAGTTAGCTGCCCCTCAGTATTCAGAAGACTTGGACGCCCTCTCCCAAAAATATCCCGTAGATTCTTAAGTCTTTTACATTAAAACATCATAATATTTGCATCTAACCTATGCACACCCTCCTGTATTCCTTAAATCATCTCTAATGACTTCTGATACCAAATAAAATGTAAGCGCTGTGTAAATATTTGTAGTGTTGTACAGGGAGCAATGACAAGAGAAAGGTCTGCTCGATGCACAGCTGCAGTCCTTTCTAAATATTTTGTCTGTGGTCTGTTGAACCCACAGGTGCAAAATGTATAAAAGTGGAGTATACATTTTTCTTTCAGCCCAGCAATCATTGTTCTGGGAATTTATTCTAAAGATACTTTTCCAAAAAGACAAAAACACATATGCACAAAAATTCAATACAGAATTATTTGTAAGTGTAAACTTGCAGAGATTAGTTTAAACAGTTGTGGTAAGCAGACACAATGGAATATTGTGTAACTGTTTAAAGGGAATTAGGAAGATCTCAGTAAACTGATAAGGAGTAATTTCCAAGAGGTACAATGAAATGAAAAAATCAAACCTCAAAATAGTGTTTGTGTTATGGTACATGCCGTGAAAGAAAGAAGAGAAAATTAAGGACATGGATATCTGCTTATCATTATAAGTGGAAAGAGAGGGAAAGCCAACAAGTGGTGAAGTTGATTATCTAAAGGGGTCAGGGGAGGAGAAATGGATGGGAGAGACAACAGAGAGAAGGGTACTTCTCTGGATGCATCCTTTGTATAGTTTTGAATTTGAAATCATATAAATATTCTACATATTTAAAAACTCAAATGACTAGACTTGAAAAGAGGCTAAAGATTGAGAGCAAATTTAAACAAACTTAAATTCAAATAACCATCATAATGGAAGTAAACACAGTAGAGAGGGAGAAAGGAGGAGTGACTATGCATGGTCTTGTTCAAAGAGGATAGGGAAGGATTGTGAAAAAATACTGAATCGGTTTCAGAGCCAATGAGTTTTGGAATTGCTTTTGCTATAAGGTTGAGCAAGATTAAAGGCATTGACTTGGGAGTCTGGGATTCTCGTTGATGAAGAAAGACATCAAGGACTAGTCCCCTCATTCCTCTCTGCAGTAGAGGAGTTGAGCTCTGGGAGGAAGGGCTGTGTTAGGGTGCAGGCTCAAGATAAGAGGAGGAGCTTGTTTTTCTGGAAATTAAGGAAGGGCTCCCCACAAATATGACAGCAACATATCACAGGGAGCTAGGAACCAGCACAAAGGATTTTGAGTGACCAAATTGGTGTCATTTAAACAACAATAATAAGTGCAGTAATTAATTATAAACCATTGAAAATATAGTTATTCAAAAACTCATGCAAATAATATTTTTATAGCAAAAAAGAAGCGGAACTTAGCTTATAGACCAACATCAAGGACTAAATGGAAAATTGGGAATAAACATTGAATTGAAATATTGGAAAGTCATTTATGCCACCTTCATAAAGGTTGAATTAGAATCATCTTGCTCAATCTAGGGACCAGTTTGAAAAGCAGCCGTAGGACCCTGAAGACTGTTTACTAGTTGCATGAGAGAAAATTTCAACTTTACAATGGAAAAATCAGGAAATATCTTGACTGAGTGATCAACTTTACATCACCTATGAGGAAGAGATGGACTTTGTGCTCTGCCAGGTATGATATTCTAAAGAGGCCATGACATCTCTATGTAGAAGTCACACCTAACAGTGCATCACCCCAATGTAAGCACAGGAAACATCACAAACACAAAATGAGAAATACATATATATGCATGTATTTTTTTTTTTCTGCTACAGGGATTGAACGCAGACCCTCATGCATGCTAGTCAAACACTCTTCCACTAAGTTACATCCCCCAATGGTGAGGAATATATATATGTATATAAAGATTTATTTTATGTGTATGTTTGTGCATCTATGTGAGTGTATGTCAAAGGTGTGCAAAGCACCTGTTTAAACCAGAAGAGGGTGTTGAATTTCCTAGAGTTGCAGTTACAAGTGGATGTGAGCTGCCCAACATGTGTGCTAGGAATTGAACTCAGGTCCTCTGGGAGAGTAGCGAGTACTCTTAACCACTGAGCCATCTCTCCAGGCCACTGAGGTACATAATTTTAATGATAAGGGAAAGGAACCAGCTTCCTATATTCTTTAAAAATATCAGTGAAAGACCAAGTCCATAGAAGAATTCCAAAATGATGAGAAATGGAGCTGTGGCAACTGAATGCGGTATCTGACCACACTCTGAATCCTGGCTATGAAGGTCATTATTAGACTGACCAACAAAATTGGAATATGATGGTAGAAGTGTTGATATAAATTTATGATGTTGATAGCTGTCACAAGCTAGATAAGAGACTATCTTCAGTCTTTGTAAAAAAAAAAAAAGGCTGAAGTATTATATTTAGTCATGAAGTAAATTATGTCTAAATGGTTCAGGAAAAAAAAATGTAGCTGGAGAGTGAACAGATGTTACAGCAAGGTAAAATAGTAGTGTCAAATGATTTCTTTAACATCTATCTGAGTATGTTACTCCTTTGGATAAAAGCTTCAGGCTCTTTGTATTGCAAATTCAGAGTCTTAGTTCCTTTTCCTGTTTCTATGATAAGATACCCTGACAAAAGCAACTCAAGAGAGAAAGAGTTCCCTTTGGCCCATGGTTCAAAGGCATAGTCCATCATGATACCAGGAGCTTAAGGCAGCTAGTCACATTGCATCCACAATCAAGAGGCAGAGAGTGAAGAGGAAAATCTCACTTTCCCCTTTTTATATGGCCCAGGATCCTGGGCCAGGGCATGGTGCCACCTACTGTGGGCAGTAAACCTAATCAAAATAATCCCCCACAGGCAAACCCAGAGGCCCATCTAGCTCTCCTCGAGTTGACAATTGAGATTGAACCATGACACACAGTAAAATCCAGTTTCTTTTCAGAACCTACCACACCAGCAAGACTGAATTCCTAACACTGTGACATTATCCCCTGACCCCACACACTGAAACCCCTGTGCTAGTTCATGGAGCTCTCAGATCCTCAAATACGTGCTACTCTTTTCTGCTTCTGGGAGTCTCTGTTCCTTAATATTTTCTGTCCTCTCTTAATATCTGACTACTTTTAAACTTCTTTAAAATCAGAGGGAGAGAGAGAGAGAGAGAGAGAGAGAGAGAGAGAGAGAGAGAGGAGAGAGAGAGAGAACATTGTATATGGATGTCAGAGGACATCTTGCAGGAGTCAGTTCTCTCCTTCCACCATGTAGGCCCCAGGATAGAATTCAGGTCATCAGGCTTGACAGCACTCTTACTCACTGAGCTGTCTCCAGTCTAATACCTGAATTCTTTTCATACTGGAGGTTTTAGCTTATGTGTTCCCTCCCCACTCTATATAAGGTATCTCTGTCCCCATTCTTCAATAGCATCTTTTCCAGGTGTAAGGTAAAATTCTATGTATTTGCCTGATAGAATTTTTTTCTGCCTGCACCTCTTCCTTGGGACCAAGAGGTTGACCACATTATTCA